TACTAACATTAGAAGCATCTGGTAATAAGAATTACAGCTTTTTGATGGATCAAAGATAAAAAATACATCTGGACATGATGGGAACTTGAATTACTTTTATTAAATGCTGTTTCAGCTAACGCTGTCCAATTGAAGGCCTGATTCTTTCTTGCTTGCCAATAGTTCATATAATGGTGTTAATAATTCCGTTTTATTTGGAATGAATCGTTGATAAAACCAATTTTGCCAAGAAAGCCTTCTAAGAGATTTAAGATCTTTTTAGGTGGAGAGAAAATCGACAATTGCTTGTTTATTACTTTTAAGAGGTCTCATTGTATTGAACATTATTTGATGTCCTAAATAACAAAACTCTGGTAAACCAAAAAAAAAGAAAGAATAAAAATGTGATCGATACGGATATTGTACTGTACCAAAAAAAAAAAAAAAAAAAAATCAGTGAAATAGAAACCCGAAGTGACTGACACATATACATACATGGTTGATTTGTTGTGTGTGTGTGTGTGTGTGTGGTCACTTAGAAATCGGTAATAATGATGATTTAAATTTATTTCCATTACAATTCTTATCAATTGTCACATTTTTTGTTGTTGTTGTTGTTGTTGTTAGTGGTAGTAGTGATGAAAAAACGGAAAGATGGTGTTGAAATAATCAAATCATCATATGGTGATCAAACCAATAATCATCATCATCATCATCATCATCATAATCATCATTATCATGCTCATGAATTGTTAAAATATTCTATACAAATCATTTCATTCATTCATTTATTCATATATGAAAGGGAAACTTTTTTTTTGTTGTCCCCGATAAGTAAATGAGTAAATATATGGACATTAATGACTCATTTTTATTTTGTTTGTTTGTCCGTATGTGTGTGTGTATGTATAATTGTCAGCTAAACGAGATGGATATTCTTCTATCAGACATACATAATACATATCAGATCCAATATTAGGTACCATATGGACCATACATATCAGATTAAAAATAATATATATGTTTGGAAACAAACACATAGGAAATTTAAATCGATCCATTTCCACATATGTGTGTGTGTAAATAGACAAAAAGAATTCAATCGAATCGATAAAATTTATATTTATTCTATTCAATTGATTAAAATTGATTAATATCAAAGATTCATTTTGAATATGTTCAAAATGAACACCAGAATAAAGTGAAAAATGAATGAAATGAAATTTTTTTTTTTTAATCTAATTTTCACAACTGACTTCAATTATTGACTAAATTAGCAGTCATACATTGGTAAATATAAAACAAAAAAAAGTGAATATAAATGATGATTCTGTTCATTCATCCACATTCTTTGCATCATCATCAAATAAAAGTTTCACTTAGTCGTATGTGGAACAAAAACAAAAACTCAAACAAAGTTCCAAAACAATACAATACAATACACTAATTTCTTCTATATATATATATAATCCCCGTCCTAACTAGTGTGCAAAAAAAAAAAAAAAAATAGTCTAATTCACGCCTTGGGCAAAAATAATCAGCAATCATCGGGTAAACATTCCAATTTGGATGATCAAATAATAATAGATTGAGGGGCAACAAAAAAATCCCTTTTGATAAAAAGAATTGAAAGAAATGTTTGATGTTTGGCTACCATGGTTGTATAAATTGGTCCAAAGTTTTTCTGTACACATTTTTGTTTGAACACAGAATTGTAAGCTGTAATGAATGAAAATCCTATTAGATTCTTATTAGAGCCGACAACGACAACGACAACGATGATGATGATGACAGCAGCAGCCAATTGTTGTATTATAAATATTTTTGCCATTTTGCATATATTTATTATAATAAGAATGGATGGATAATTGGGTTTTTTTTAGTTGTCGTCGTCGGGGACCAAAGTGTATATTTTTTTTTGTTTTAAGCCATACCATGCACACAATTGTGGACCCAGATGGTTTCTGGTACATGAATGCATGTATGACTGTGTGTGTGTGTGTGTGTGTGTGTGTGTGTGTTATGTAAACAGTTTAATCATCCATAGATGATGATCGTCAGATATTTTTTTTTGTCTTGCTTGAAGTTTAAGCAAAAAAAAAAAAAATTTCTATGTTTGAATCAAATGAACTTTGTCCGTTGTTAACAAACACCGGTAAATCGTTTTTATTGCTAGATATTTTTCTTGTTTTGTTTTGTTTTGTTTTTTCTTTTATATTTATCATTCGATTAACTTTCATTCAGTAGATGATTGTATTTATATTCTAGCCACCATTGTTGTTATTTATTCATGTCCAGCTTATTATTAGTTGTTGTTAGTGTCGATGTTGTTGATGGTTGACCACCACCTTAACACCACAAACACACACACACACATATATAAACCGCAAACCAGAGAAAAAAAAATTTACACTTTGACCCACAAAAAAAAAAAAAGAGACCAATGGTCTTCGGCTTCTGTTTTTTGTGGTTTAAATTGGTGACCCGTGCCAACAAAACACCAAACACATCGTGTGTGTGTGTGTGTGTGTTATTCATTTTCATATATTTGCATAACAATATTGTTTAAATGGACTTATTGCCAATATTCAATTCATTCACTATATTCATATTCATTTTTTGATTAATCTCTATATCATATAGCTTTAGGGGTTACCACAAGTTTAATAATTTATATTACGAGGTAACAGTATTCATTTCCATCTTTGTGACATATGTGTGTGTGTGTGTGGTCGTAAACATATAACACACACACACACACACACACACACAAATCGAAATCAGAAATTTTTTTTTTTTTTGTCACAAATCGACAATCATGTCAATCAATAATAATATCTTGTAATGTTGAGAGCAAAAAAAAATTTTTTTTTCTCCAATTATTTATTGCCATCATTGATCGATTGATCAATGTAAAAAAAATGGAATGTAATGTAAAAATGACAGGTAGATTAACCTGTATGTATATCATATCATTTAGATTTAGATTTTAATAATTTAATATATTAAATGCGGATTTATTTGTTCAAATTATCTATATCAAATCTGTCTATAATTTACTTTTTTTTCTTCTTTTTTTCTAAATAGTGAGAAATCCTGTCACACAGTACAATTAAGATCAAATTAATACTGTTGATTTGATGATGATGATTATGATGACATTAATAATTGATTTTAAGGTTTTCACACTCAACCACCATCATCACCACCATTGCCACCACCCACCCACCCACACAAATAATGGATAAATGCAAACAAAATTGATCAAATTGACGGTAATCACGTCACACCCAAAAAAAAAAAATCATTATAAACGATTGACATTAAAAACGATTATCATCATTATCATTATATTATTTGGAAATTGACAAACATTTTTTTTTTATTTACACAACAACAACAAAAAATGTATAGATTTTTCTTGTCGTTGTTGTATTGGATGTAGTAGTAGGGATTATATTATCTCGTATCTCGTCTGTCAATCACAATTTTAAATGATCCTGATATATAACATTAATGATAGGTGGTAAAAATCTCACACCATCAAATTTTTTTTTGTGTGTGATTTATATTTTGTATTCCCTCAAACACCCACGCACACACAATTTATACATAGCAATAGATTGTACATTGGAATGTGATGTGTCAGTTTACTTTTATTTTTTTTTTTTTTTTAGTTAGGTAAACATTAACGATAAATGAATGAAGAAGAAAATCAGTAGCCATTATTTTGTATGATTAAGTGAATGATGAAGGAAAATTGATAAGTAATAATAAATATATATAATTAGTTTAGATATAATAATTTCATTCAACTCTCAATATGGTCACTATAGAAACAAATCATCATTGTATTTGTTTGATTAATAATAATGATGATGATAATTATGACACTTACCATTCTGGCAAAGCATCTCTTTGGCTAGCCATTCATATGCCTGTGCTGCAGCAGCTACTTGTTGGCCATCACCAATGGAAGCAGCCGCTGCTGCTGCTGCTGCCATCGATTTACCAGTTGATGCTGCCGTAGCAATCTGATGAAATGCTGAATGAAATGCAGATGCATTAGTAAAAAATGGTAATGTTGGAAATGTTGTTGAAATTGATTGTGGTGTTGTTGTTTTTGTTGTTGTTGTTGTTTTGCTGTTGCTGCTGCTGTTGTTGTTGTTGTGGCTGACGATCCTTCACCGGAACCATTTTGATTATGATGATGATGATGGTGATGATGAACAGAAGCTTGATCTTGAGCATTCATAATCGATGGTGATGATGATGGATAGATTGATCCATAAATAGATGAATGATGATGATGATGTTGTTGTTGTTGTTGTTGTTGAGCGAACAATGTTGATAATGTCAATGGATTTGCGGTTGAATGTAGCCATGGTGTTTCGATATTTTTTCCTGTTTCAAATCCATTAATAACAGCAGCAGCAGTATCGATTATTTTAGGACTTGAAATTGATCTTGATGATCCAATGATTGTTTCATCACCGGTAAATTTCAACAATGATGTAGCGGGTGAATCTCTGGATGGACTTGTATTTCTACCATTAATGTCAGAATTAAATTCTGTGGTTGTTGTTGATTTAATTTTCGGATGACTTGATCTTGCCAATAATGCTTCAATACAAAAACTTGATGATGAAATGGAATTTGATTTAGTTATTTTAGCCATAGAATTTGATTTAACCATTGTTATTGGTGTTGATTTTGGTGATGATGATTTTGGCGGAAAATCTTGATGATGATTATCATCAATAATTGATTCGTTTGTCGATGGCGATGATAATGATGACGAAGACGACGGCGACGATGATGATGATGAAGACGGCGATGAAGACGATGAAGACACTTTACTATTATTGGTTTTTACCGACATTAGTGACCGAACGATAATGAAAATCGAAAATGTTCAAAGTCAAAGAAAAAAAATTCATTCATTCATTCAAACAAACAAACAAAAAAAAAGACAACTATATTTGCAAAAAAAAACAGAAGAAAAAAGTATTGATTGGTTATTACTGGTTGTGTGACTGTATTGTAAATGTAACTATAACATATTAATGACATTTAAATTTATACTTATAAACATTCTCTCACTTGCACATAGACGAATAGTTTTTCTGTGTGTATGTGTGTTTGACTACTAATTGGCATCGATAATGGACAGAGAATTGGCTTTTACAAAAAAAAAAAAAAGAATAATATTTCTGTATGTATATTGAACATAGATGATGATGATGATGCTAAAAGCTACAAACATAACAAAGTTGTTATAACAAAATGATGATGATTTGGTAATAAAAAAAATCTCAAACATGCACATACACACACAGAGAGAAATGCTAGACAGACATGCGTATCTTCGTATATTTATATATATAACAGGATCATGATCGGATAAAAATTAACCAATCAGCATTGGTAATTGTTTGTTAAAAACCGCCTACAAACCGTGGCTATAGATTTTATTCATATTTCTATATATAAAAATTCTGATCAGATCTATCGGGTTTTCTCTCTTTGTGTGTGTATGGGTTTGTTTGCACTGGGGAAAAAAGAAAGAAAATTGAATAAAAATAAGAAAACGCGTTTCGATTGAAAGAAAGAAGAAAAAAAAGAGTGGATAAAAAGCAAATAATAGGATAGTGATGAATGAATCTCAAACACACACACACACACAGATGAGGCACAGAAAAAAAAACTTTTTTGTACATCAGCAGCAGCAGCAACAACAACAACACAGCAATAAAATTAAAATAAGTAAAAAAACAATTTAGGTACGCTTAAAATTCCATAATTTATTTGAATAGAATGAGAATAAGAATAGAATAGAATAGAATTGAAAAGAATCGAAAGAAAATGGAAGAAGAATTAATTCGAGAAAAAAAAAGGAAAGTGAAAATAAAAATGGATTCATCCAAGAAAAAAAAAGAAAGAAAGAATCGGGCATGCCTAAAAACATGAATGATTTTTTTGTGTGTGTGTGCGAGTGTGTGTTCAATCTCGATTCTTTTCTTTTTATATTCATGAATGAATTTTGCTACTCTATATATAAATATTACATTCACTATAACGATGATGATGATGATGATCATCATCATCATCATAATGTTTTCGATGATGATCTGTGTTAGTATCAAATCCATTTTCACCATTTATATACAAATACCCGTTCTCTCTCTCTCTCTCTCTCTCTCTCTATCTGATTAGTAGCATAATATTGTACCCGTGTATACAGTAGAAAATATTCGGCTACAAATGGAAATTGGAAATGTTTGTAAATGTGTAAAATGTGTGTGTGTGTTTTGTGCAAATAAAGTTCATTATTATGTATATATATGGAGAATCTAAATGTAGAGCTGGCCAAACAAACAAAGAATATATGGCAAAAAAAAATCTATAACTATTATATTCGTGGAAATAGAGAGAGAGAGAGAGAGTGAGATTTAAGGCATTCTAATTTGCATTCTCATTTGATTATCAACAACAATTCCATCATCATTTGATCATCAAAAATAAGTTTTTCCCTTTCAAGCACAATCCATCCATTACATAGAATTGGACCGAATCAGCATCATGATGGTGGTATATTCCACTAATTAATCAACGGCTAATTTTGAACCACTTTTTTTTGTTCTTGTTAATTAGCTAAATTATTTCTGTGAACATCAAAAACCATTTCTTTTCTATTGGGGTTTGATGATCCAATAAATGGTGTATAAACAAAAATGGGAGAATGAAAAAAAAAATCCAAAAAATTCCTTTAATGAAATTAAATTTAAATCAATTGGGATTTTTTTGTTGTTGTTGTTGTTGTTGTTGTTGTATCCATTTTGATTTGGTTTAGTTTTCCATGATCCATAGATTTTCGTTTCGTCGTTGTTGTTGTTGTTGTCAAGTTCTCGTTATTTGTTAGGAAATGAATGAAAAACTTTTTTAATTTGCCGGAAACAAAAAAAAAACAACAAGAAAAAAAAAGGAAACCAAACAATCTGGATCACGATCAAAAGTTTTTTTTTTTCTCATGGTAAACAGATTGAAATCATCATTGAATTTGAATTTCAGTGACATTAAAATCATACAATCAAAATAACTAGATCAGATAGGAACAAAAAAAAATATTCAGTGGACCTAGATAATTTATATGCCAACCAGAAAAAACGAAAAAACAAAACAAACCAGAATGGTAATAGAATTTTTGTTGTGTTGTTTTGTTTTCTGATTATTACGAATCGAATCAAAAAAAAAATTCATAGTGGAATTCATTTGTTCTGTTCTGTTCTGTTTATTTATTTTTATTTGTTTACTGTCGCCAAATGAACTCGATAGAACATACCATACATACATCAATCCAATGATGTGTGTGTGTGTGTGTTTAGTTTGCTGTTTTTTTTTCTCTCTCTCTCCGCAATAGTTTTCGGATCTTTTTTTTGTGATTCAATTATTAGTTGTGATAAACAACAGAATCACATCACAATAACGATTCAATTATCCACTATTGCAATCATTCAATTATAGAACATTTCATTCGATTACCATAGTAAGGATATAGATTTAATTTGCCGACAAACAGAAATAAAAAAAAAAAATTTTAATAATACATCATACATCATTTCTAATCTAATAAATGGTAAGATTAATCAATCAATCAATCAATCGATGCGGTATCGATACAAGTCAGCAAAAAGAAAGAAATTTGTAATTAAAAAAGCAGAAAAAAAAGAAATCAAAGCATAAAATTCATCATATACTAATCCTCTTGTGTCTGTGTGTAGGTATTGCCATTTCTAAGGTAAACAGAATAAAGAACAAGAAAAAAAATGTCCTGAATATGCTACTGTTGTTTTTTTTTGTGATTGCGTGTGTGTGTGTTGGAAAAAATGTAGCCGGAACAAATAGACACACAAAATCAAAATCGAAACCAAAACCAGAAACACAGAAAGAAAAACAGGTCGCCTATATTCAATTAAGAATGAATAGAATGAATAAATTCTTGATAACGAAACAACGACAACGATCAACGTGATGTTAAAAAAAAAAAAAATTTCGAAAATCTAGAAAAAAAAGCGTCAAGCAGTCTACTACCACTGTGTGTGTGTGTGTTGATCAAAAACATCATAAAATACCAAAATGTTAATGATCATAATAAATATTGTGTTACACACATATGTCAAATCGATTTATTTACACGCAAGTTTTGATGTGTGTGTGTGTTCATTCATTCTCATTATAAATTTTAACAATTTTATACCATATATAAATGCATGCATTTACAAACACAAAAAAAAAATACAATGCAGTTACAATATGCATTTCTTATCAATATAAATAAATAAATGATGATGATGATGATGATGATGAACAGATCCGCCGGCATCAACAAAAAAAACAAAAGTATTTTTTGGATTGAAAAAATTTTTTTTTCTCCATTTTTACATTATAATCATCATCATCATAATGATGATTGATTATATGATGATGATTACAATGAACCAACCAATCAAACAACAACCAATTTTTTTTTTTTTTTTTTTTTTTGATAAACAAAAGGTGTGATAAAAAAAAATTACCACCGGATTGTAAAACTTGTTTAACTTCTGGTATTTTTTCTGTTGTTGTTGTTGTTGTTGTTGTTATTACCAATAAGATTATCATCATTTAATATAACTTTATATTATCAAAACAATCATCATCATCACAAGCAGATTTGCCTTTCACATTTGATGTTGCCAATGAACACACACAACACACACACACACAGAGAGAGAGACTAAAATCACAAACTAAAATCAACAAATAATTTCATGACAGGTTAACGATGATGATGATGATTGATTGAAAAGGTTATAATCTCAAAAAAAAATTTTCAATTTTTTTGTTTTGTTTTGTTTTGAATATTTATTTGACGATTTATTTGACATTAATTAATTATCATATATAAGATGATGATGATGATGATGAATAATTGAAATTAAATAAAAAAAAATAATTAATCGTATGACGATGATGATGATGAGATGGATGAAATTGTGTCAGCATGGGTGTGTGGGTGTTTGCGTGAAAGAATACAATCGCAAGATTGATTCATTAAAAAAATTTTTTTTTTTTTTTTTTGTTTGAAATAATTCAATTCTTAACATTCAATTAACAACAGCAACAATAAAGACAAAAAAAAAAAAAAAAAAGGCTGCTGATGAAAAAATTTTTTTCGTTTCAAAATAAAACATAACAGATTGATTAATGATGATTTTTTTTGTTGTTGTTGTTGTTGTTATCATTTGCTTTGAAATGAAATTTCAGATTCTTTTCAGCAAAAGAATCGATGATTACCATTTGGGGTGGGTGAGGGAAGGGTATTATTTACATTTTGACAAAATTATAACATATAAAGAATGGTGAACAAAAAAAAATTGATTATTTTATATTCAATATCATTTGTGATTGATTGATTGATTTACAACAAATTATAACAATAGTTGTTAGAGAATAAGATGGAAACTTGAAAAAAAACACATGCAAAATAAGATGGAAATTGTCATTATTATTTTATGATCAATGCTTTCTTTTTTTGTTTGATTGTTGTTGTTGTTGTTGCTGTTGCTGATCAGATGATGAGATATTTTTTTGTTTTAAATTTATTTTCAATTTTAATGGTGCAGCAGCAGCAGCAGCTGCTGCTGTTGCTGCAGGAACAGCCGCAACGGATGTAGGCGATTGTTCCATAATGGTCGATGGTCGTTGATCCGTTTCGGTGGATGAAAGGACATTTGTACGTATTTTTAATTTGATAGGTTTAGGTCGACCACCATCGCCATCATCATCAGGTATCAAGGCAAACGATGATGATGATGTATCTGATGTTCGTTGATGATGATGATGGTGATGTCCATCATGACGATCTTTTTTATGTTTATGTTTATGATGTTTTTCTTTATGTTTATGTTTATCTTTATGATGTTTATGTTTCTCTTTATGGTGATGCTTTTGTGTAAAGGATGATGATGATTGTTTTGATAATTCATCATCCATTAATAGACTATTGATGCCTGATGTGGATGATAATGGTGGCTGTGATGAATGATAGGTATCATTTATCAATTGATTAAATGCAGCAGTTGCTTGTGGTAATGCTGCTGTCGATGATGGTTGATTAGATCCAATAGACGGTTGTGATGGCAATAATTTCGAATCAATATTGCTCATGTTGTTATTGTTACTATTGCTGGTGAGCGAACCTAGAATCGAATCTAATGTATTCACTTGATTCGTTGTTGGTACAATTGGAATTTTCGATGCCATATTCAACATTGACTTGTTCGTTGATTGAGGCATAGATTTTTCCTCCAATTGCTCTGATTCGTTATCTTTGTTTGGTAAAAAATTGGACATTGAAGATGATTGTGATAATGATGGCGTTGGATTATGATGATGATTGGTATTTGTATTCGATGCTAATTCATTAAACATAGGTAATGACGATGATGATTTTAAATCAGTATTGCTTCCCATAGCTGTTGTGGGATGACTTATATTATTATTATTAGAAGATTTATGATTAATAGTGTTGGAAAATTCTAATGAATTTGAAATATTTGATTTCGAATCCTCATTCGAATCGTTCATCATCATCAATGATGAGCCAAGACCAGGTAATGAATAATTGAATGCATTCGTTGAATCTTCATTATCAGAGAATTCCATTTTAAAATCAGCAAATGAATCTTTTTTTGTTTGTGAATAATCGGAATATTCCGATCCAGGTGAAAACATTGAATCAATTTGAAATATTGGATCATTGTTAAAAGAATTATTGTTACTATGGTTTATGACTTCATTATTGTTGTTGTTATTGTTGAGATTGTTACTGCCTGAAAGTCTATTATTATTATTGTTGTTGTTGTTGTTGATGTTGCTTGAGGAGGATATCACAGATAGATTGGATTTTAAATTTGGAACATTACTATTAATATGATGATTATTATTATTATTGTTATTATTATCATTTTGCAACGATTCTTTCTTCATTTTTTCCAATGTTAATGATGAAGACGATTCTAATAAGGCAGGATTCTTTGCAGCAGCAGTAGATTTGGAGGATGAGTTTGCAAATGAATGCTGTTGCTGCTGTTTTGATGTCACAATTGATTGTGATTGTTTGGTACCATGGTGATGTATTGGTTGTTCAGAATTATGTTGATGATGAGAATGATGATGATGGTGATGATGATGATGTGATTGGTGATGATCAACACCAGTGGTATTAGATTGACCATAATTACCCGATAATGGTATTGATGGTTTAGATGATCGAACATTATTGGCATGTGATGAGAATTTTGGATCTTTGGGTGACATTTTCTGTGCCGACGATATGGAGGAATTTTGATGATGATGTGGATGATACTGTTGAGGTCTATTCCCACTGATGCTGTTGTGTTGTTGGTTTTCATTCGATCGCTTATGCTCCTGTAATTAAATAAAGTTTAATTATAACTAATAATTTAAATAATTAAATTAAATAAATTAATTTTATTACGGTTGGTTTCATTGATGGACTATTAGGTATAATTGGATTCAAACGACTTGATGATAAAATCTTTTTTAATCGTGATGGACATTTTTTCAATATCGACAAAAATTCTCCAGTTAATTCTTCGAGCATTTCTTGTGTGACATTAGGATCAACATATGACCACCAATCACGACCTTCGATCGATCTTGAAAGCTGTCAGTCATATTTTATATTAATAAATGTGAGCACATTATTTTTGTTGATATGAATCATACCTCGAAAGATGCCCATTTACAAACAAAATATACACAGATACAGGCGACCACGGTTGGTTTATATTGCAAACACATCGTTGTCAAATGCAGGCTGTTTGTTGCCATTATGTATGATGCTTGAGCCAAATCTTTATTGGCTATTCATTTCAAATGATAATAATTCATTTTGTTCAATAATGAAACAACATTTAAAACGGATTCAATTCAATTACCTCGAACAAGATCAAAACAATTGACTACATATGTGTGAGGATGCTGTACACTGAGGTCAAAACCAAGCGTTCTTAACATTAGATTCTCATGATGTACCAGTTCGGCGGCCAATGCCTGAAATTGCTGCAAATTATAAATTTTTTTTTTAAATGGTCAAATCATCCAATACATCATTATCTGATAAATGAATAGATAGATACCTCACTTCGTGGATCAAGATTTTCTCTATACAAACATATCTGTGCAACTTTGATGACATGTTCAAGTTTTCGATGTTGTTCTTCGACTTTGGCTGCAAGAAATAATGCACAAGAAGCAATGGACTTTATTTGAATATGAAAAAAAATAATCAAATTAGAATAGAAAATAGAAAATTGATGAACAAATTAATTTACATTACGATGGAACCGAGTGAACGAATGTTGTGTATAAAATCTGTGCATATAAACGATGGCCGTATTGATCACTAGTTGATTTCTGATATTTGAAACATAACAATTATATAAAATAATGAGTAGAAAAGACATTCGAATGAAAAAAATAAATCGAAAATTTCACATTTCTTCATAGAAATTGTTTAAAAATTCAAACATACACTTTCAATTTTTGGCCCATATCTTGTATTAAATTAGCTGCTTGTTGTCGATATGAAAGTTCTTTTTCGGCATCGATTCCAAATCTTCTCGATGGACTATTCTCAAGCTCATCTTTTGTAAAATACCAACGCTCACGTTGGGCCATCATTAGATCAGGCAATTCTTGTTTTTTTTTGGCGGACAAAAATGTCCCCAACCGATGGTCTGTTGGGATCGAATGCTACTGTTGATTTATCGATCGATCAGGTTGTAAACAATAAAATATAAAATTCATGAAACATTCTCAACAAGTAAATTTATCACCGAAATTAATTTAAAATCCAAAATAGAAAATTCGGGCCAAAATATTCAATTGATCGAAATGAAAAAAAATCCGAACAGAGCAAGCGATTTTTTCCAACACACACACACAAGCCAAAATCAAGATGACTGCTGCTATGAATGACCATTCATATACGATAGGACAAATAAATATTTTTATCAATTAATTAATAATTAAAATTAGAATCAATTTCATTGAAATTAAACTCAAAACATTACAAATTGTATTTAAATTCAATAAATAAATCAATACAATTGAATTGGATGAAATAAAACTTTTTTATCATTATTTATTATTTATGAATATATAGATTTTTACATTGTTAATGAACGGATCCTCGGCAAGAGCAATTTTTTCGCTCGCCTTTTTTTTCATTGTTGTTGTCGTTGTGTGTGTGTGTGTGTTTGTTTGGCTTGTTTTTTTGGACTGGATGGATTAGAATGCATGCCATCAAGCTCTTATTTTTATTATATAATGAATGAGCCGATCATCATTTCATTAAACGTCGATGATTTTTAGAAATTAAAGTTCAAAATTTTTATCAGATGATATAATATAATATATATAATAGTTATTGTTCAAAACAAATCATCATCATCAACATGTCATATAAATCACAAAATTCTTCTCAGGCAAAATCAAATCGATCAACGGCCAGCGGTAGCAATCGATCTCAACAACAACAACAACAACAACAGCAGCAACAGCAATTAATATATTTGAAACGTCAATCGTCATTAATCAATCAATTTTTTAATCAACAACAACGACCAAATCCACATCAAACAAATGGTGATAATTTCTGTCTATATCCACATAGATTTTGTCTACAAAATCGTCTCGATGGATATAACTATTGTATACGACATATTCTATTCGATAAGAATGCTCCATTTAAACAATGTTCATATATTCATCCACAAACAAATAAACGCTGTCCGAAAGCTGCCCGCCGTTATGATCGTCGTGATCGTGATACCGCCTTTTGTCCATGGCATATTCAACAATTCAATATATTACGACGTAAAAATGCCTGTATGGAAAATTATCAGAATTCAATGGTCGAAGAAAAGAAAACAAATTTGAAAAGAAAATTTGAAGAATTAGAACATTATTGTCCAAGTGATGAACATGATCATCGCCGTAAGAATGGTGATTGGGAACTTCACGATGATAAATGTATTGTAGCGAGTAAATCTTTGAAAACACGAATAACCGATTCAATAAATGCTATACATTGTCAAAATCAAAATAATGATGATTTTTCTCAATTAACTTTGGCCGATGTTCTCAATCTTGATTCATTGGATTCCGATAATGAATCTGTCGAAAGTTACATGGATGATCCGTTACGTCATGCTGGTGTTTATTCTGCTGAAGAAATTTCCCATATTCTTCGTGATAAAATGCTTCGACTTCAAACATTGTACATTAATTTACATAATTATTATCGGCAAATGTTGAAACAAAAAATGCGACAATATTATTTGGCTAAATTATCTGTAGGCAGTAATAATAGTAAACAATGTGAAAGTACAAGTTCTAATGGTAAATCCTTAGAATCATCAACAACGGCCATGACGACATTAATGAATGATTCAAATACGATAATTGATGCATTTAATGAAGAAGAAGATTATAAAATAATGAAAGCCATGTTTAAATATCATAATATCTCAGGACCGGAAAAATTAATTCAAAATAAAGCTAGTGAAATTCGTCAAAGTTTGATCGAAGATAAACAAATGACGGAAAAACCATCAACATCATCGACATATTTTTGTATATACAAAAAAGATGCCCAACAATGCCAAAAGCAATGTGTTCCACTCTCTAATTATTGTCGTACACGTAAGCATGTCATACATAAACATTTTTATTATTGATTTCCAACTTGTATAATAAAAATAATTTTAATTCTTTTAGACATTCTATATGATCCATATCAAATTCTGTATCGTCCATGTGCTAATGGAACACCGCCTTGTTTAATGCCTGTCGTTTCCTATGTTCATCGTAATTCCTGTCTACAACATACTCAAATTAAATTTGAAAAAAATGAAATTGCCAAGATTTTGGTAATGTTTTGCCTTATGATTTTTTTTATCTAATTTATCTTTTTTTTATATATAAACAGAAAAGTCCAGAAAAATCGGAACCAGAATGTCCAGATCAACAAATAAACGATGATGATGATTTGGAAAATGAAACTGAACTTTTCCATTCTATTGAAGACATTTCATTGGCAATGGATCCTGTAGAATCGGAAAATTTATTCAGTTTAGAACATGAATTCGATATCGATTCAAATATGTTATCATAATTCAATAATAATTTTCAAATTGGAAATTTTAATAAATCAAATAACTTGATCTCTTTGATAAAAGATCATTTTTGTGTTGGTAGATAGCCAATGTTTGAACTGGTACATCTAACATCTTTGGAATGACAATTAAATGGTGACAGGTCTTGTTTGGATAAACAGAAATTAATTTGTGCAATGATTGGATAATCATGATGATTACTACGTGTACATTGAATTTGAACTTTATAACCGAAACCTTTTTCAATGGCATCATGGAAAGCTTGTAATGGATATATTTGCGTTGTCGATGGAACCACACCACCAGCAGCTAACCATTGTTCAATGTGTAATCGTTTGAATGAATCTAATGTTGATTTGAAATAGTTGAATTCATTTTGCATCAATGGACATTCGATAGCACAAGTTCCATGTTTAGTATATTCATGTGACCAGAAATGATCATTAGAACTACCAGATTTTAAAGATTTCCAATTGGCCACCATTTCCGATTCGATTGATTTGATTGCATTATGATTGAATTTACTATTACGATCACAATACTGTGGATATGAACCATCATTATTTTCTGGCCATGCACCATGTATTAGCCAACGATCTTTATGATGAACACATTTATTATGTTCACAAAAAGTTTCAGGCCATTGTGTTGCCAATAAAATGTAATCAAAATGATGTTTAGATGATTCTAATGCCAATGAAAATGTTCCAAGAATCAACAATAACAACGATGCCAATTGGATTTTAGCCATTATTGAATGATTAAAACTAATGTAATAAAACTGATGATGATGATGATGGAATGACAATAAATTGATTTCATTTTTATAGATCAAATGTGACGAAATGAAATTTATATTTGTACATATAATGTCATGTCGTTGTACATTGAAAATGTTCCATTTCATTTATATTTGATTAATGATTGTTATTTTAAAATTTCATAATTAAAACAAACGAAATCGTACGAGATTTTTTTCTTGTCATTATTCACTTGACGTTTTTTAAAAAATATCACTTCATAACAGTGATTTGAATTGATTGGAAATTTATTTAATCAGAAATTAATTGTTTTGTTTCTCAACCAAATCGATGATTATTTCATTTCATTATATTATATTTAGTTTAGTTATCAAAAAAAAAAAACAAAAGTCAACGTCATCAGTCATGGTGATGATGATGATGATAATTGTTATTATTATCGATAATTGCTAAACGTTTTTTGATAAAATCAATTGCCAATTTTTGTGGCCGTTTCTGTAGTTCATGATATTCTTGTTTTGTTAATTGAATTTGATCACCATCAAGCCGATTAACCATTGTAACACAAATGATAGCAGCATCAACATTAACATAACGACACATTGATCCAAATGCCAATGCTTCCATTTCGATGTTGATGATTCCTGCTTTTTTTAATTTTGTTAATCTATCCATTTTATCATCAAGATTATGATTACAAATTGCTCCATCAATTCGTGATTGAGATTCATAGAAATCCATTGCACACATTGTTGTGCCAATGATCGTTTTATATCCAGGATTATTTTGCAATCGAGCTATTTGTCCTAATTCTTCAATCAATTTTTGATCAAAAGTTGCTGGTCTACGAACAATTTTACCTAAAATATGCTGAAAAGATTTGATTAAATATACATTGTAATTATATTAGCGTTTCATAGATATATTTACAAGCTCATGAAATGGTCGTAATAATTCATCGACAACTTTATTGGTGATAACCACTGTACCCGGTTCGACACCGATTCCACCTGATGTTCCAATTCGAAACAATGTAACATTAGTACATTTGGCATAATGTAATAGTTTTAAGATTTCATGTAACAATATCGATATTGATGAAATACCCATTCCATGCTATATATTTTATCATGATAGAAATAAATTCAAATGAATGAATATAACAATTCGATGATCATAATGAAGAAAATCATTCACCGATATAGAAAGAATTGGTCCAATTTTAAACATAGAAAATCGATGTGATGATTCAGTAATATCAACAAGTTTTGATTCCATTATATTCAATTCTTTGGTAGCCAATTGTGCAAATTCATACATTCGTTTTTTTGTACCACCCATACAGACAAATTTAATATCACCAAACATTTGTTCAAAATTATGTGTACTTGTATTCAATGCCAAATGATATAATGTATCCGATTGTAGATTGGTTAGATGTTTATTCGATAAATGTAATCGTCCATCTTGGCTATTTTTTTTGGTTTGAATGGATGAAAATTATTTTCAAAATTCAATCAAATCGATTCATTCACTTACCTTTTTTTCATTTGAAAATTATCATATACAATTTCAACATTACATTCATCGTGATCATCCACACAACCATCATTAGTAGAATGATCCATAACTGTTTTGATCTGAAAAATGAATGGGAAAAAATTGAAAATGATTTTATAGTCGATCGAATCATTTTTTTTTCTTCTTTGAAACAAACAAAATAATGTATTTCAAAAAAAAAAAAAAAAAAAATTAACAATTACAAACACAGACATTGTTTTCACAATCGAATATCGTTATTTTGAATTTATTTGACATTGATAATTATCTATGGATTGTAGTGATTAGTGTTTATCAATCTCGGATACTATTTATTCATCATCATTCGCATTCAAACAAGCAAATTTGTTCATATCTTAGTAGAGAGAGAGAAAAAAAAAGCAAACATTGCAGGTTATTTGGTCATGAGTAGCATAGTATAGGCGTGATATGAATTCAACATTATCATCATTTCTTGAAGCGCATGATTTCCAAATAAAATATACTTTGGGAATGCGGAAATTTTTTTTTTTTTGTTCGTTTCTTATTTTGGCCGAACATAAACATTAATTAATCTTGCGATGATTTGTTGAAAAGATTATTCACAAATGTCAATAGATCACATTCATACCATATTTCTATTAATCAAATATTGATTGGAAAAATTTCCACACAATGATTTGCACTTTTGGTTGTTTGTTTTCTGTTCTGGTTTTTATCACTTTAAAATTTGAAAAAAAAATTCTGGAACAAATCAAAAAAAAACATTTGATTTGTTCAACAACTAGATGACAGTCAAACAGATGGCGACACTAACAGTTGAGCAAAAAAATCGAATTTTAAAAAATTTCAGAATTCAATCAAATCAAATCAAATCAAATTGAAGAATAAATAATTTGTTTGTTTTGTCCAGAATAAAATAGAATAGAGTAGTGAAAAAAAAATAAATTGTTTGTTTAAACAGCAGCATCATCAGAAGCAGCAGCGACAACAACAACAAAAAGAAGATAACATCATCATCATCATCATTATTATTATTATGACAATGGATGATTATAATGATGATGATGATGATGATGATGATCATTATTATTATCATCATCATCATCATAATGACCATTATATTTATTGATATAATGATAAGATTCGATGATGATGATGATGATATATCCGCCCATCATGTTACCGAGTGTGTGTGTGTGTGTGTGTAAACAAGACGATTTTCACACCTCGATCATGTTGCGAATAATAATAATAATAAATAATTGGTATTTGAGTTGAAAAAAAAAATTTTCAGGATGATTGTCATCATCATCATCATCATAACAACATGATTGGCCAAACAAAACCAAAACCAAAACCAAACACACACACACACACCGGGAGAAAAACCGACAATTTAATTTAATTTAATAAAAAAAAACGTTCATTTTCATTCTCTTTTATTTTCCCATTGGGTTATTTTTCCGAATGATTGACACACACACACACACACACAACATACATTTATTTGGACAAAAACAAAAATTATCTTCTTTTTTTTCTAATGATGATGATGATGATGATGATGTGATACTATTTATATGAAATAGAAAAAAAAACGTAATGTATCAATTTGTTCATCATCATCATCATCATCACCATGATCATCATAATCATCACAAAAAAAATGATTTCACTTTTTTTTCCACTTTACTCCATTTTATATATATATATAGTAATCATTATGTTTGTTTGATGATTGAAGATCATCATCATCATTATAGATCAGTTATGATGATGATGATGATGATGATGATAATAATAATAAACAACGAGTAGTCAGTAGTTTTTGTTTCTTGTTTTTTTTTTGTTTTTAATGTTGAAACAATAATTACAAAATTGGTGGTAGACCTGATCATTATTATTATCATCATCATCATCATCATCATTCAAAAAAAAGCGAATTGATATTATTATTAGTAAATAAATAAATAAATAACAAACCAAAAATGAATCGATTGAATAATGATGTTTAAACGATTACGATAATCAATCAATCAATCAATCAATTATCAATTATATTAATTATATTATTATTTATTTCAAATCAATAATAAATTTGTTACAAATTGTCAATATATGAAATTAAAATTTCATTTGTTTGATCCTGAACTCTGTTATAGTAATGATTTTCATTTGTGTGTTTTATTTTTTTTTTTCTATAAAATTCCAAAAACAAACCAAAAAAAAATTAAAAGTTGTTAATGAACACGTTATCATCGTTAATCAGTAATTAACGAAATAGTGCAGCAGTGGGAGTGGTGTATGGTTATGGTAATGGCATCAGGTGATGATCTGACCAGCCAAGTATATTGATTGGCCAGTCAAATTTTTTTTTTTTTTTTTAATGAAAAAAAATGAATTTTTTTTTCTTTCATTCTTTAGCGGTCATTTTTTTTTTGTATTTCATAAAATAATAATTGTAAGTAAAAAGTTTGAATGAATCCAGAGAGAAAAATTTTTTTTTTCCACCTTGCTCAACACATAGTGATGGGCGGAGTTTCAATCAAGAATAGAGGCGTGTCTTTGGTTTTTGTTTGTTTGTGTGTGCATGTGTGTGTGTGTTTTCTTCCAAGACGACGATGAATGATGTGTGGATGATGATGATGATGAACGATGATGTAGAAAAAAAAATTATTCGTGATTACATTCGTGATGTTTTTAAGACGAAGACGAAGACGATGAAGACGAATGAAAAAAAAAATTTTTGTCTGAAGAAAGAAAAAAAATCAAAAAAAAAAAAATTTCCAATCGTGCAATTTTTTTTGTTGTTGTTGCAATCGAGTGTTTGTTGTGTGTGTGTAGGTTTGCGTGCATCATCAAACAACAAGCACGAATATAAGAAAAAAACAAAATGTTCATAAAGCCAGAATGTAGATGATGATGAGCAAAAAAAAAAAAAAAAAGATTTGCTGTATTTCTCCCAGTGTGTGTGTGTGTGTTTTTGTTGTTGTTCATCCATCCGCGTATATATATTGAAATGTGGTTGTATATATCCTGGAATCATTGATGATTTCATTTCTTATTTTGAGAAAACTGAAAAAATGATTACCGACTACTATGGATGTATGCTAAGCCACTGGGTTATATCCACTACTACTGTTGTCGTTGTTGTTGTTTTAATGTGGATTTAGTTCAGTTTAATACTCTACTTTGATGATAAAAATCAGAAAAATGATAAAAAACAAAATCAAATGATGATGATTAATTGGTTTCATGATGATGATCATAATCATAATAATAATGATGATGATGATGATGTTCAGCCATTGGCTATGAGAAAGTGAGTTGAAATAAATCTTTTGGAAATGATAATGATGATGATGATTCCATTTTTTTTCTTACTTTATTGATAAAGAATCGTGTGTATTGACCATAGATCAATATGTAGAAGAGAAAAAAAAATTTCCAAACAAATGGATATGATGTGATATGAGATGTGAGAAAAAAAATCAAGGCAAACAAAATTTTCTTTTTCTGCTGAAGATTTCTTTAATCTTGATAGGAAATTTTTTCATTTTTTTTCTTCTTGTTTGTTTGCCAATGTGTGTGTGTATTTCATGTGAAATGAAAGAAATATGGCAAATTTATGCATGAAAAAGTGACGGTGTGGTGGTGGCGGCGGTGGAGATGATCACGGTGGTGATGGCAAAACGTATGAAGATCGTGGAATTTTATAATCAGGTAGTGAGATTTTTTTTTTTTTTTGTTCATCGAAAACAGTGGTTAAAGCAACGAATTTTTTCTTGTTTTTTCAATCAAAGTACAAAGAAATGAACTTTTTTTGTGGGGCCTGTTTTGTTTTGTTTTTTTTCATTTGTTCATTGGTTAATGAAACAAACCGAATACACTAAATTTACAGCGCCCAAAATGAAGCGAACATACACACACACTGAAAACAACAACACGCCTTTTATACGGTGACTTATAGTATGTGATGATGATGATGATGATGAGCAGAATTTTTTTTTCACGTTCATTTGTTCGGTATATAGTGTCCATTATGGCTAGAAATGTACCGATTTTTTTGTTCTCTCACAATAATAATGATCATCATATGCAAATGAAATTACGGGAAAAAAATCAGCGATAATTAAATAATTTTTACAGCAAACAAAAAAAAACTGAATACAAAGATAATGATGACAGAATAGAATGAAAACAACAGAAAAAATCAGTCAATTTTAAATTGAAATCCAAAGCAAAAAAAAATTCAATTTCTAATCCAACAACAACAACAACAACAGCAAAGCTAGTCATTATATCCGTACACAGTGATCATTTTTGAAACAATTTTTTTTCTACTTTTTTTTCAAGAAAAAAAACGAAAGAAATGACCATCATTTTTTTCTCTTCGTTTGGTATGTACGGGGGATGCATATTGTATATTTTTTTTGTATACAATGTGTGATCATTAGTTAGTGAACAACAACAACGAAAAAAAAATGATACGAAGACCCAAGTAGTTGTTGAATGGGCCTGTAATCATCAAAAAGTTGAGCCACCGTAACAATTGTATACTATTAATATGATGATGATGATGATCATCATCATCATCACTACCACCATCACCATGATGATAATAATGATGGTCATCGTCGTATATTTGGTCATTTGAAAATTGAAACGAAAGAAAAAATAGATTTTTTTTTATATATATCGAATGTCCTAAGGCCAAGGAGCAAAAACAACAACAACAACAACAACTGCAAATAATATCCAAATGATGAAAAAAAAATCTATCTCTCTCTCTCTCTCTCTCTCTCTCTGTTTTTGGTTGTTAATAATCGTTGTTGTTGTTTAAAGCAATCCCACCTATAATCAGAGAGCGAGAGAGAGAGATACATTTCTATTTCAGTTCTGAAAAAGAAGAAGAAGAAGAAAATAGATATCTCCAATGCTGATGAAAAATCTGAGATTGGCGATAATTTTTTTTTCTTTGAATTTTGAATTTAGAATTCAGGACTTAGAAAAAAAATTGTAGAATTCCAGATTGAATATAAATGCGATGAGAAATTTTTTTTTCTTTTTTGACCACTTTTCTTTCTCAATTTCTCAAGAATCAGAAAATTATTTTGATCAACATGATCAACATCCATCCACACACGAAAACAACTCATAAGGATAAAACTGAATGTTAAACGACGAACAACAAAAAAAAAATTCAGCAAACCAGCCAAATTGTCAGTCAGTCATTCATTCTTCTTGTTCTGACTGGAAAGGAATGGAATGGAATGGAATGAAAAATGACTGCAAATTATAGCTGCTGCTGCTGTTGACCTTTTTTTTCTTCTCTCTTTCTTTCTCTATCTCTCTACAAAAACTAAACTCAGCTTTCGATGATGATGATGATGATGAAGAATAGCCTTAGCAAAGAATCGAACCAAATGTTCAATGTGTGTGTATGTGTGTGTTCCATCCTGATAATATAATCATCATCATCATCATCATCAACATGATCATGAAAATTACAATTCATATGGACAACGAAAAAAAAAAACATATGCTGGTCATTTATATATCCTGAAACAAAACAAAAAAAAACAAAGGGAACCGATAGGAGAAAAAAATGAAATTATTACAATTTTTATCCATTTGGAGAAAGAGAATGCAATTTTTCTCCGATAATATAAACGAT